AGACACAGACCGGCAATTTCACACAAGAGTTTGACGCTACCATCTGCGGAAGTTGCCGTATGTGTGTGTGTATGTGTTTGTGTGGCCAATCCGCCCTCTCAGCGGACGACTGTCATATACTGGCCCGGCAACCAGTCAGTCACCTTGCCCAGAGGCTACTTCCCACTCCGTTCCCACCCCAGGCCCCCAACCCCTTCCATCTGGCTTAGCCTTTCAGTACCAGTGCACATAATCACACTGTCGCTATTCCAACCTTGTTATCGTCGTGCCAACTAAGTTGATTAGAGGCGAAGACTGGTCAACACACGATTTCGTTCACACCCGAACTGAGATAATGTTGGTAGCAATGAACCTGATTTGAGAGATGCTCGACCGTGGTTACTCAGGCCGGTCGACGGACAGTATAGGCCGGTTAGAGTGGGCATGGTCGTCTTGACAGATTTCTCGTGAGGCAGAAAAATGGGAATCCAAATTTCTGATGGAATGTGTCCAAGTGGGAAGGTCCAAAAAGGCCGAGTTGAAAAGTGGTGGTGATGATGAGGAAGGGGGATTGTCAGTTCATAGTCATCGCGACGGTATGTATAAGGCGTAGATACGGTTGCCATGGCTGGACGTCCAGACGCAAACCAGCATGGCGCCCAAGTTTTCTTCCGGTACCCCCTTGCAGGGAAAGATGAGGCACCGGAGACTCTTTCTCAACTCAAGCCTGCCGCCAGACTTCTTGCTTAGGCAGCTCCAATGGTACCGAAAGACACACCCACATACAGGCATGCACTAACACACAAACCTGCCGTCATTCAGGCCTTCGAGTGTGCATAGCCTTCTGCTATGTCCCACATGCCATGTTGTCGATTGCGTTTCTGGCGCTGGAGGGGGATCTTACCGATAGAGGTTTGCGCCCCAGCAACTAATGTGCAGGCCCATGGCCTCTGGGGCAGCTCAGCCCATCCGCTTGCCGTCATGCCAACAGAAGAGCCCACCAGATGTCAGATTGCGTCATACCGTTACCAGTGGCAAAGTCGCGCTAGTCTTTAGTCTCGAATACAAGCATAAGTGGAAAAGATAGGACGCAAGTGGAGAAGCAGATACGACCTGTGTGTGTGTGCGTGTGCATATATGTGTATGCCTGTAACCAGGACGGGGTCGATGACGTGACCGATATGGGAGGTGAATGGGATTCGGTGGTATGAAGACGCGATGGTTTAAGCCTAATTGTCTGGACGGGATGAAAATGATGTGGCCTGTGAAAGTGTGGAAATAAAGTATGACGGTCTCTCAGACAACCAGCTGTAAACTGTCGGATAGACTAGTCTGTTGTCTGGCCAACGATGGAGGCAAGACCGGGAGACAAATATGTGAAATGTTTACTTTAGAAAGAGTAACTGGCTTTAGATGATACACATGATAGGCAATTGTTAAGCTGACTTTGATTTCGTATCCTCGAGACACTGTCATTCTGTCCCACCACGTCATTTGACAGATATCATCAAAGTCGCATACCGTTATTATTACAACTCTAAGCTGAAACTGAGTCATTACAACTTAGCGGTTCAGCTCGACATGTTTATCAGTTCCCCAATTACGATCACTTCGCAAGGTATAGGATAATTTTATTCGTATAAGAGTAGGGTTTCGAGACTACCAGTAAATCAGTGTAATGAGATATATTCACCCTATTTCG